TAGATATTTCTCTCTGTCTTTCCCTCTCTAAAACTCAGTGGGAAAATATATTTGGGTGAGGATTAAAAAAGAAAAAATCCTAGCCTAGCCAGGAGTGGCTCAGTGGTTGAGCATCCACCCATGAACCCAGAGGTTCTCTGTTGGATTCCTGGTCAGGGCACATACCCGATTGTGGACTTGATCCCCAATGGGGACCGTGCAGGAGGCAGCCAATCGATGTTTCGCATCAATGTTCTCCCTCTCCCTTCCTCTCTCTAAAATCAATAAAAGCATTGTTTTAAAAAATCCTAAAAGGAAAAGGTTTCACAACTTTTTAAATGTTTTATTAACTCTAAGAATGGTCTGCTTCAACATCATAAGTACTGAAGTTAGCCATATTTCTCTTTACCAGTCCATAATAGAACAGCATTTACTAAAGCTACTTGTTTGCCCCAACACCCCATATTTTGTGTTTAAATAATTTTAGAGTAGTTTTAGATTATAGAAGAGTTCAAAAATAATAGTGAGTCCCCATCTACCTCTCACCAGTTTCCCTTATTTTACTGTGTACATCTGCCACAACTATAGGAAACAAGATTGGTGTGTTACAATTAACTAAGCTTCACGCTTTGACTTTTACTAGTTTTTCCCTAATGCCCTTTTTCTGTTCCAGGATCCCAACTAGGATACCACATTACATTAATCGTCATGTCTGCTCAGTCTTTCCTTGTTTTTTATTGACAGTTTTGAAGACTACTAGTCAGTTGTTTTTGTAGACTGTTTAGTTTGGTTTGTTTGATGTATTTTTTATGATTAGGCTGTGGTTATGGGTTTTGAGGAGGAAGACCACAGAAGTGAAGTGCTTTTCTCATATCAAGGCACATGACTTGTCACTGATGATACAATCTTTTTTAAAAAAAATGTGTTTTTACTGCCGAAACCAGTTTGGCTCAGCAGTAGAGCGTCGGTCTGCAGACTGGAAGGTCCCAGGTTCGATTCCGGTCAAGAGCATGTACGTTGGTTGCGGGTACATCCCTGGTAGGGGGTGGGCAAGAGGCAGCTGGTCGATGTTTCTTTCTCATCAATGTTTCTAGCTCTCTCCCCCCCTTTGTCTCTGTAAAAAATCGATAAAATATATATATATATTTTTAAATGTGTTTTTACTGAGGTAGCATTGGTTAGTAACATTTAAATTTCAGGTGTGCACATGAGATAATTCGATATCTATTTCATGCTCCCCACACCAAGTCTGTTTTCTATTCATGGCCATATATTTTGTCCCCCTTTACCAATTTTGCTCTTTCCCTTCCGGTAACTACCATTATGATGTCTTGATCTCTGAGTTTGTGGTTTGTTTTGTTTTGCTTTGTTCATTTCTTACTTTTTTTTTTTATTATTGATTTTTTACAGAGAGGAAGGGAGAGAGATAGAATTAGAAACATCGACCAGCTGCCTCCTGCACACGCCCCACTGGGGATGTGCCAGAAACCAAGGTACATGCCCTTGACCAGAATCGAACCTGGGACCCTTCCGTCTGCAAGCCAACGCTCCATCCACTGAGCCAAACCGGCTTTGGCGTTACTTTTTTTTTTTTTTATTCCACCTGTGAGTGAGGTTATATAGGTCTTGTCCTTTTCTAGCTGACTTAATTCACTTATAATTTGCTCAAGCAACAGGCATGTTGTCATAGATGGCAGTATTTCATTTTTTATGTCTGAGTGGTATTCCAGTGTGTGTGTTTCTTTACTGTAGTTACTTTCCCCCTGGCAAGTCAGTAAGTGTAGCCTATATTCAAGAGGTTGGAGCTCTGCCTTCTTGAGGATAGTATCTACATAATTTTTTTTGGAATAATTCTGTATGGGAGATTTGTCTTCTCTATTCATTCAACCTTTTTTACATCAGTACGGGCTTACGGATATTTATATTAAACTTATGGTTATAATCTAGTACTACGCCATTTATTTTGTTGGTCAAATTGTTTCCGTTGTAACTACAGGGAGCTTTTATATGTTGTCTTCTGTGTTCCTTTAACATGCCTCACTGTGGTTGTTTAATACTTCTTGGCATTACAAGATGGCTCCGGGTGCAGCTTGTATATTCCCCAACCTAGAATCAACCATTTCTCCATCTCTAGTTCCTTTTATTGGAGAATGATATTTAGAGACCAAGATTTGGGCACTGGGTATGCTTATTCCTACCATGATGTTGGACCTTCACAGCAGAGGGAGCTAGAAAATAAATGTCTCCATTGCAACCCATGTACACACATTATCTAATTCTGTATCAACCTCTGTCTGTATTACACTAAACATGAATTCTTACTGCCATATTTTTTAAATTCAAATTTGTATTGATATTTTTAAGTCCAATTTTATAGTTTTTACTCCTTAAAAATAGACCCAAAGATCCATGCATTGCATTCTTTCCACAGCTGTTTGAGTACCTGCAAAGTACTAGGTATATTTTAGATGTTTGAAATATAGTAGTGAACAAAATAGATGAAGAGTTGATTTTCAAGGATAGAGACAGTCTAGAAATAGAAGTAAAATATATACCATTTGTATAGTGGTGAGTGATATGGAGGGAAAAAATAGGAGGAAAAGGGGTAGGGTTCCGGGGAGGGGGAAGAATAGAAAAATAAGGAGTTTTGAGGTGAGGGAGGGTAGTGTGCAGTTTAAAACAGAGTGGTCCTGCCAGCTGGTGTGGCTCAGTGGTTGAGCATCGACCTATGAATCAGGAGGTCACGGTTTGATTTCCGGTCAGGGCACCTGCCAAGGTTGCGGTTTTGATCCCCAGTGTAGGATGCAGAAGGCAGCCTATCAATTATTCTCATTATTGGATGTTTCTGCCTCTCCATTCCTTTCTGAAATCAATAAAAAAAATGTTTTTAAATAAATAAAATAAGGGGTCAAGCATGCATACTCTGGAAGAAGCATGTAATCTGCAGGAAGTATTAAAGGGAGCAGCCTGGACAAAGGCTCTCAGGTGGGAATGTGCCGCACAAGTCCAGGGAACCAACTGCCTGGGGTAGAATGAACAGAGAAGTATAAGATCAGGTCAGAGACAACAGGGAAGCCTTTTTGGCCAATATGATGCCTGTGGCATATATATATATATATATATATATATATATATATATATATATATATATATATATATATTATTGATTTTTTACAGAGAGGAAGGGAGAGGGATAGAGATTTAGAAACATTGATGAGAGAGAAACATCGACCAGCTGCCTCTTGGCACACCCCCTACCGGGGCTGTGCCCGCAGCCAAGGTACATGCCCTTGACTGGAATCGAACTTGGGACCTTTCAGTCCGCAGGCCAACGCTTTATCCACTGAGCCAAACCGATTTCGGCTGCCTTTGGCTTTTACTCTGTCTGACACAAAGCCTTGAGAGGTGTGACCAGAGGAATGGTGTGATCTGACTTAACGGGCGATCTCTGGCTGCTGTGTTGAGAATGGACTGAGGGAAGAGTGGCAGCAGTTAGGAAGCTGCTGGTGATGGACTGGATGGCAGTGTAGAAGGTTGGACTCTGTCTCTCTGGGATATAGAGCTAACAGGATTTACTTACAAATTACATGTAGAATGTAAAGAGAGGGATCAGGGATGACCACGTTTTTGGTCCATGAAAACAGCAGTAGAGCTGCAGTTAACTGAGATGAGCAGCTTTGGGGAAGACGGGAAGTGCAGTTTGGGGCATGTTAAACTTGAGGGTCAGGCTGGTGGAGTGTCAGGTGGGTAGTTAGTTGGTCATATAAGTCTAAACTTCACAAGAGAGGTCCAGGCTGCAGATAAATTGGCAGTTGTAGTTGGATCCAGAAGCTAAGTAGCCCAAACAGGTTCTGATGTCTTTCCTGTTGTTGGACTGCCCTCCTCTGGCTGGAGTGTGAAATTTTGTAACCAATTATGTAGTTATTCCAACACTGAAGTCACCTTTAAGCATACCTAAGAAATGCTCCCAGCACTGCTACCTCTGTAGTCTTTGGTGCCAGAGCCTTTACTTTAGGAGACTGATGCAATGCTTCTTCCCTGGCTCAATAATCCTGAACTTGGGAGCTCCAGCAGCGAATTGGGTGTGTAGCAGTGTCAGGGAGGGGACGGTGCTGATTCTGGTTCACCCTGTCAGGACCTGTTGGCATCTCATAGAATGCTTCCGCATGGTACAGTGAGGGGAGTCCAAGTATTGGCATTCCTAGAATTCTGATAATTATTGAATTTTTCATAAAAACAAGGTTACATATTGAGGTTCTATTGCCAGAATCCCATTTCACATTTTTTAAAATTTCAAAAATTGATCACAAAAATAAATGAAGGGGAACAGTTATATATAAAATACATGTCTTTAATATGTATTCACTAGATACGTGAATCTAGACTAATTTAAAGCTGTAACATAAATGTACATTTGCTGGCCAGGAGCACTGGCCAGCAATAGCCTGTTAAAACCTCAGGAGTTCTAAGGGTCTAAAAAGGTTTTCAGAACATAGTTAATGTAAATTTAATTTGTAAAGTATGCCATGTGCTGGGGTTTTTTTTTGGGGGGGGGGTAATCTTCACTTGAAATATTCTTTTTTCTTTTTCTTTCTTTTTTTTTCAAAAGAGAGGGAGGAGAAGGGAGGGAGAGAAGCACCAATTGGTTGCCTCCTGCACGCCCCCTACTGTGGGTCAAGCATGTGCCCTGACCGGGAATTGAACCCTGCACTGAGCCACACCAGCTGGGTCTCAGTGTGCTCTTTTGAAAGTAAAACCAAAGTAAGATATTCTGAACTACCTCCAGAGAGATTTGAACAGTAATTTTTACATGGTAGTATTATAGTGGCCATAATTTTTACAATTTCTTGTGCTAAAAGTGTAACCGTAAGACCAAAGCTTAAAAATACTTATTTTGGTAATTTTATGGTAACAATATTTTCTTAGGTTGAGCCTGTAGTCCTGAAGAACCAGAAATCTAAAGGAACTAATATTCCTTCTACAAAGAGCCCATCTTCAGTGAGGCTGTTTCTGGAGTCCGTATGATGACCAAGGTACTGGGCGTAGCCGCAGGTCTGGGCCCTAGGCCCCTCCAGGAGCAGGTGGGGCCTGTGATTGTGAAAGTTGAGGAGGAGAAAGAAAAATGCTTTCCAAGCCTGGAGATGTTCCGCCAGCGCTTCAGGCAGTTTGGATACCATGACACACCTGGCCCTCGGGAGGCCCTCAGCCAGCTCCGGGTGCTCTGCTGTGAGTGGCTGAGGCCCGAGATCCACACCAAGGAGCAGATCCTGGAGCTGCTGGTGCTGGAGCAGTTCCTGACCATCCTGCCCCGGGAGCTGCAGGCCTGGGTACAGGAGCACTGTCCAGAGAGTGCTGAAGAGGCTGTCACTCTCCTGGAAGACCTGGAGCAAGAACTAGATGAACCAGGACAGCAGGTAGGAGGGAATGAGATTGGGAGCATGCCATTCCACGCAGGTATGATTTGTCCATACAATACGAACAGGTAAATGGAAGTTTCTACTGATTTAGACCATGTTTCCTCCTCTTTTTCCTACTATCCTACACTAGCTTTAGTCTTGAGAATTGAATGGGGGGGTGTTTCTCTTTTCTCTTTCCTAGAGATTTTACGTAGCTCTCCTGAGATTTTCTTTCATTTTAGTTCTAAAGTGAGCCGTGGACAAACCCAGCCATTCCTAATTGTCTAGGTTTCACCTCCTCCGAATGAACAGAAACAGGCTTGGGAGATGTCCTCTTCGGGAACAGCAAAGAAGTCCCTGAGCAGCACCCAGCCACAGTCAGTGGAAAATAGTCCCAACTATGAGTCTTGGGGACCCCTATACATCCAAGAGTCTGGTGAAGAGCAGGATTTCACTCCAGAGCTGAGACAGAATCAAGGTAGGAACAATTCATCTGTTAATGATTTAGTGAGCCTGTAATAATCAGCTTTGGATTATGTAGAAATGGTCCCTGATAAATTTATTCAACTTCTGCCTTGGGCTATTTAAAATTTTAAACTTTTAAGTTACTTATTTCCTACACATAGTTCATGGCAACTTGAAGGATAACCTGTATGATTAGCCACATGATTGCTCCTCATGGAGCGTGAGAGAGATTTTAGCTCCCACTGCTGCAGTCAGTGAGTAGGGGGCGAGCCTGGAAGCAGCAGAGCGGTTACTGCCGACAGAGGAAGGAAATAGATGGCCAGGAGACTGAGACAGAGGGATAAGGAAAAAGGGGCTAGAAGGAGGGACCTTTGCCAGTTGGGGCTTCTGCTTAAGAGGAGCCCATTTTGCCCTAGTCGGTTTGGCTCAGTGGATAGAGCGTCAGCCTCCAGACTGAAGGATCCTAGATAAAGGGAGTCAATTTTTCAGAGGAAACTTCTATGTACGTGGATGGTTAGATGGACTTTTAGCAGTGTGATTGTCTAGTGAAATGCTCTTAAAAGATGTATTGCTTTAATTTGATTTCAACAATGATACTTTATAATTAAAGTATCCTAGCTGATATAGATTAAGTGATGAGTTGAATTCTGGTGGGAGTTAAGTACTTTCACTTAAATTAAGAAGGATCTGGCCAAAGCCAGTTTGGTTCAGTGAATGGAGCGTCAGCCTGCGATCTGAAGGGTCCCAGGTTTGGTTCCAATCAGGGGCATGTACCTTGGTTGCAGGCACGTCCCAGTGGGAGGTGTGCAGGAGGCAGCTGATTGATATTTCTAACTCTCTTATCCTTCTCCCTTCCTCTCTGTAAAAAATTAATAAAATATATATTTTAAAAAAGGATCTGGGCCTAGCTAGTGTGGTTCAGTTGGTTAAGCTTCATCCCATACACTAAGAGTTCACTGGTTTTATTCCCAGTCAGGGCATATGCCCAGGTTGTGGGATCAATCCCCAGGGGGGGTGTGCAGGAGGCAACCAATCAATGTTTCTCTCTCCCTCTCCCTTCCTTTCACTCTAAAAAAATCAATAAAAACATTAAGGAGGAGAATCTGGGACTAGAATGATTATAAATGGACTGAATGTTCTCTTTTATTGCTTTTACTAGTGGCCCTGTGCTCGAATTTGTGCACATTGAAAGGAAATTAATTAGAAGAAATATTTAAATATCGTTACACGCCCTTTCTCTAAAATAGAAGTGTCAACCAAATTCAGGATCAACAATGACAGATGGAAACATGTGCATGTGATTGGCACCAGCAAAAGCTTTTTATGTATGGCACATGAGCAAGTCAACTTAACCATATGTGTGTGTGTGAAGAGAGAGAGAAAGTGTAGTAGCCCTGCGCATGAATCCATGCACAGTAGCTCACCAGTAGCTCGCTGCTGCCCTCCAGTAGCTCTCCTCCTGTCCCCCGCCAATAGCTTGCTGCCCTGCCCCCTCCTGCAGCTCTCCACCACACCCTCCTGCTGATCCATGATCTGGTTGTTACACTTCACGGTGTAAGAATCATTTGCATATTACATCTTTATTATATAGGATATTCAGCTTCTATGAGCACATGGATTTTTTGTTTACCACTAGCCTCTTCTCTCTTAATTATTCTTTATTTTCCTTAATCAGATTGACCCTTCAACAATCTTTCTAACTTGTTTCATTCTGCCCAAGCATCTCCCATCTCCCTTTGCTGCTATATGCTTGACTTTGCCTTATTGCCTTCTATATATGAAGTTCTCCTCCTAGCAGAAAAAGCCATGTACTCTTCATACCATCATAGCTTTGGGTAGGGTAGTGGGCTGTGTGAAAGTCTGGTATTGTAAACTAGATTTGATGATGACTTATTTGTATAATTGTGATATTGTGACCTCTCAGAGCAATATTTGGTCACCCTTAAAAATCCATCAATGTCATCTGATGATTCTCTTTGTCCTTTAACAGTTTCTTCTCAGAACAGGAAATAACTCACATGCCCTTATTCTACTTATTGTTTCAGATTGTAAATCGAACACCCAGAATGAGGAATCAACAGATATGCAGAAAAGTTCTGAAGAGTCTTATGCAGACGAATTCAAAAAGGATATTACTCCCATGGTTATTGCCAATAAATTTGAGGCCAGGTTAGAAAGGCAATGGGTAAACCTTGAAAAAGAAAGAGGAACAAAAACCTCTCTCCTAGACAAAGGTTCCAAGAAAGGTAGAGAATTAATGTCCACCAAACCTGCCCCAGGAGAGAGACGTTACATATGTGCTGAGTGTGGAAAAGCCTTTAGCAATAGCTCAAATCTTACTAAACACCGGAGAACACACACTGGGGAGAAACCCTATGTGTGCACCAAATGTGGGAAAGCCTTCAGCCACAGCTCAAACCTTACCCTTCATTACAGAACCCACTTGGTAGACCGGCCCTATGACTGTAAGTGTGGAAAAGCCTTTGGTCAGAGCTCAGATCTCCTTAAACATCAGCGCATGCACACTGAAGAGGCACCATATCAGTGTAAAGATTGTGGGAAAGCTTTCAGTGGTAAAGGCAGCCTCATTCGACACTATCGAATACACACTGGAGAGAAACCTTATCAGTGTAATGAATGTGGAAAGAGCTTTAGTCAGCATGCAGGTCTTAGTTCTCATCAGAGACTCCACACTGGAGAAAAGCCGTATAAATGTAAGGAGTGTGGAAAAGCCTTCAACCACAGCTCCAATTTTAATAAACACCATAGAATCCATACTGGAGAAAAGCCCTATTGGTGTAATAATTGTGGGAAAACCTTCTGTAGTAAGTCAAATCTTTCCAAACATCAGAGAGTCCACACTGGAGAGGGAGGAGTGCTTTAACTGTCAAGTAGGCTCTCAATGTTTGTGTATGTGTGTTTTTGTAACTCTAGAACATGAGTGCTATGGAGAAGTCAGATAATTGTAATGTAAACTTAAGTGCTAGCTTTTTTTTTCACTCAACATCAAGACACCCTGGAGGAGTGAGAGCAATGGCACAGTAGAAGGAAGGTCCTAGAGGGTGTGGTGGATTCCTCACTCGTTAGCTTAACTGGGGCCGATCCCCTCACCAGACTTCAGGTCCCAGTAACCATGCCGGCATTGCCTTTTGTATAGTTAAAGTGATGTGTATCAAGTATAATTATGACTTTAACTTTTAACATACCTTAAAGAATTATGATTTGCAAAGAATTGAGCCATTTGAACACAATATAATCTGATTCAGAATTTATAACATCTTGTAATACTTCAGGACTGTTATAATAAATGGTATGTTGTTTATTGAACACTATTCTAGAGAGAAAAACTATTCCTACTGGTTTATCTTTTTGGAAATTTGGATCTGGGATAATTAGAATATGTAGTACTTGTGAATGAATGTATATATTAGGAAATTGTAGTAGTGTGTAGAATAGTTGTATTTTGGTCTATGCTCTTTTTTCCTATGTGCTAATACATTTTTTTCATCACTGGGAATATTTGTCAGCCTCTGTGCATTTTGGTTGTATATACTGTCTCTGCCAAAGTCTGAAAAACTGATTCTCCCTCAGAAGCATTATTCTTCTAAACTCCAGAAGTCAATAATATTATACCCAATTTGATTAACTTAAACCCATCCCATTTTTTCCTTCTGACTACAATCTCTTTGATTTCTTAAGATACTTCTCTACCTTATAAAAAGTCTTTTGGCCAATAGGTAAGTCTTCCTGTTACCTAGAAACCAACTACTTCATGCCTTCCTCCTATCTTTTGCTTATTTTGTTGTTCTGGGTTTTTTTCACCTTTTACTATTAGTCATTAAAATACCTTTTTTGTCTACTGCTGCAACCATAGTGTTCAGCAAACCTGATATACCAGGATTAGGGACAACGAGAAAAGTGTCATGTCTAGGACCAGTTCTGATCTCTGGAAACTGCCGGTATGCCACCCTGGGATCAGATTAAACTACAGGTACCAAGTCTTTAAGCACCAGCCAAATGTATTAGAAAGTCATTACTTTAAAAAAAAAAAAAAAAAAATTGTGCTTGAAATCTGAAATGTTTTTACTGTTCCAGGAGCTTACTGATAACCTGGATGCCGTGCCAGCACCCTAACTCAGTACCTTTAATGGGAGCACTCCTGTTTATATTATAGTTAACCATGATGAAGGCCCACAGAGAATTTAGTGATTACAAGCAGCCGATTACCTGTAGGCTCTTGGAGTTGCTCCACGTGAAGGAAATGAAGGTAGAGCTGCTATGCCTCAAGACCTGCCTCACACTCCTTTGGTGAGAGGTGAATGGGCCCCCATCTGTACTGCCCCTATTTTCCTGAGACCTCCTGTGCAGTGGGTTTTTTCTGAGGGGCACTGATATATAACACAAAGATTTACATTGCTTCAGCCCCCTTCGGCCCATCTGTCCTTAAGCTGAAATCTTCCTCATATCTTGTCCCCAGACTTTCAACCTTATTCTTTGCAGGCCCCTTGTCTAGACAAGGTGCTTGCCACAGCCCAAGAGGCCATGGAATCTTTACCTCAGGCTACTTCTTCCTCCAAACAAAGTTGGTGCCAGATAGCCTGCCTGCAGCTCTGCCCACCAGATTTCACTCCTGAGGAAGCACACGGAATCAGCAATGCCTTCTTGATTCATTGAGCTGACTCTGTGAAACAGACCACAGGTTTATTCCACCCACAAGTCTAAGGGAGCCTTCCAGGAGTCCAGAGGTATGAGCAGAGGGAGGTATCGGTTCAGCAAAGGCAGGTGACACAGGTGAGAGCTTCCTGCTTACATAACCTGTGACTGGACCTGCTCATGCCTGATGCACAAATGTGACATTTCTTCCATATGATGTATTGTTGCTGTGTCCACCTGATTTAATGAACCTGAGCATACTGAGCTGTGATCAATAGCTCCAGCTACATGATCACCAGATGTCTCTTGGGTAGTAGTATCCGGGAGCTGCTCTCCAAACGGAATAGTTCTTTGCTGTAGAAGGCATGGCCTTGCTCTAGAATTCTATTGGCAAGCTCCTACTGGGGCTTACAAGACCTCCACACATTTTTCACCTACCACAGATACCTCTAACTCCGTCTAAATCTGCTGGTCATATGGCACTTGGGCTCTGTGACTCTGGGCCACACCTGAGTGTTTGTTACTTCCAAAATCCAAGGAGGTTCTTCAAACACTGCCTTTTTCTTAGTAGTGAGGGCAAGATGCAGTAATTTGTTCCCTAGAATTTCCCAGCATGCCTCAGATATTTGGACCCTTAAAAACTTCACTAAGCCCAACCAGCGTGGCTCAGTGGTTGAACATCAACCCATGAACCAGGAGGTCAGCAGTTTGATTCCCAATTAGGGCACATGCCCAATTGTGGGCTGGATCCCCAATGGAGCACTGATATATAACAAAGATTTACATTGCTTCGGCCCCCTTCGGCCCATCTGTCCTTAAGCTGAAATCTTCCTCATATCTTGTCCCCAGACTTTGTGCAGGAGGCAGCCAATCGATGTTTTTCTATCTCGATCCCTCTCTCTTTAAAATCAATAAAAACATTAAGAAAAAATCAATAAAATTTAAAAACTGGTATAAAAAAACCTTGATTTTTTTGTAAATTTTATCTCCCATGCTCTGGTTCATGTGTGTTTTACTGAAGGACGCTGTACACTTGCTACTTCCTTTTCACCAAATCTGATTATTATGTCGTCATTAGAATAATGCTCCACAGAATGTCCAGAAAATTAAGGTCTCTTTGTGAAATAGCAGGAGGGTTGATCAGGCCCTGGAGTCAAGATATTGAACATACTCTATTCTCCTTCCCTCTTGTGAACTGCCTTTGATCCTCTTTATTGATGAGGATGAGATCACTAGGAGCCTGCAAAGAGCCATATCATGTTGATCTGTTCTAGTAAAAATACTACAGCCCTTGCCGAAACCAGTTTGGCTCAGTGGTAGAGCGTCGGTCTGCGGACTGAAAGGTCCCGGGTTCGCTTCCGGTCAAGGGCATATACATTGGTTGCGGGCACATCCCCAGTAGGGGGTGTGCAAGAGGCAGCTGGTCGATGTTTCTCATCGACGTTTCTAGCTCTCTATCCCTCTCTTCTCCTCTCTGTAAAAAATCAATAAAATATATATTTTTTAAAAATGCTACAGCCCTAGCCAAAACCGGTTTGGCTCAGCGGATAGAGCATCGGCCTGCAGACTGAAGGGTCCCGGGTTCGATTCCAGTCAAGGGCATGTACCTTGGTTGCAGGCATATCCCCAGTGGGGGGTGTGCAAGAGGCAGCTGATGGATGACTCTCGATGTTTCTAGCTCTCTTCCTCTCTGTACAAATAAAATATATTTTTTTAAAAATACTTCAGCCCTAGCTATTTTGGCTCAGAGCATTTGCCTGCGGACTGAAAGATCCTGGGTTTGATTCTAGTCAGGGGCACGTGCCCAGGGTTGCAGGCTTGATCCCCAGTGTGGGGTTTGCAGGAGGCAGCCAATTGATTCTCATCATTGATGTTTCTATCTCCTCACTTCCTCTTTGTAATAAGTAAAAATATGTTTTTTAAAAAATAGTACAACAGCCAGCCAGCATGGCTCAGTGGTTGAGCATCAATCTATGAAACGAGATCACGGTTCAATTCCTGTTCAAGGCTAATGCCCAGGTTATGGACTATCCCTAGTAGGCGGGGGAGAGTACAGGAAGCAGCCAATCAGTGATCCTCATCATTGATGTTTCTACCTCTTCTCCCTCTCTGAAATCAATAAAAATACATGTTTTGTTTTGTTTTTTATGAGACTGACGCGCTGCCTACTGTGCTAAGAAGGCAACTTAATACATGTTGTTGTTTTTTAAAGTAAAAGATGGCCTGGCTGGTTTGGCTCAGTGGATAGATTGTTGGCCTGTGGACTGAGGGGTCCTAGGTTCAATTCTGACCAAGGGCACATGCCTGGGTTGTGGGCTCGATCCCCAGTAGGGGGCATGCAGGAGGCAGCCTATAAATGATTCTCATCATTGATGTTGCTATCTCCTTTCCTCTCTGAAATCAATAAAAATATATATATATATATTTTTAAAGTAAAAGGTACTTGGAAAATTGGACAGATGTAAAACAAAATGAAACTAGCTGCCAACTTACACCATACACAAGAATAAACTCAAAATGGGTAAAAGACTAAAATGTAAACCATGAAATCATAAAAATCCTAGAAGAAACCATAGGCAGCAAAATCTCATTTCTTATAGCAATATACTTACACAGTACAAAGGAAATTAAGGAGAAAATAAACAAATGGGACTACATCAAAATAAGCTGCTGCACTGCAAAAGCAAGCAACAAAATACAAAGAGCCAACTGTATGGTAGGACATATTTAGCAATGATACGTCTGATAAAGTGTTAATATCCAAAATATATAAGGACCCTGGCCAGCTTGGCTCAGTGGATAAGCGTGTTTGCCTGCAGACTGAAGGGCCCCAGGTTCAATTCTAGTCAAAGGCATATGCTTAGGTTTCTGGCTCAATCCCCAGTAGGGGGCATGCATGAGGCAGCCAGTCAATGATTCTCATCATTGATGTTTCTCCTTCTCCCTCTCTGAAATCAATAAAAATATTTTAAAATAAATATCCTGAGGTGGGTATGGAGTGAGGGGTGGGAAGAAAAATAAAAATTTATATCCTATATAATAAAAGCCTAATATGCTAAGTGTCTAGTGATCTGTTCAACCAATCAAAGCATAATATGCTAATGATATGCTAAAGCTGCCCAACTGCTCACTATGACATACACTGACCACCAGGGGGCAGATACTCCAACTGGTTAGCTTGCTGCTAGGGTCCAGCTAATCAGGACTAAGTCAGATGGGCTGGACATGCCC